TGTAAAAGAAGACTTCTGGCACAAAAGGAGTAAATTACTAGCATCATTAAAGTCCATGTCCCATGCCTAGCCCAGCACTGGATGTTTTTACGACGTAAAAGGAAAACTGACAACAACAAAACTATCAGAAATAACCGTTGGATCTGATCGCGAATACACACGTATCGAACGTAAAACCACTTGCTGGTAGGCACAGTCCTCATAGCGAGCTCATCGTGGAATAACAAGCTTCCCTACCACGCAAACGATGCTTAAAGAACAGACCAATATCAAGACAGTATATTTTCGCAACACGCCACCACGCTATTAAAGCACACGTTTACAAAGGATTCCCAATTCCGTGCAAGGTTGAACAAGGTTTTACGAAGCCCCTGAATCGGTCCGTGATTTGAAAGCGACCTTGAACTTTATTGGCAGCCATGCTTCCCGATACACAGCCGTTCTATCGACCCATCTAAGCTCTTATGGCACACGAATATTGCAAACGGTGTCTCATGGGCACGATGGCCATACTGCACAAAGCTAGGTGTTGATGTCGTGCACCGGGTGAAATGCAGGAAAACTTATACCTTGCATTTGATCATGGGTGATAAATGTTCACTCCTTTGGAAGCGTGTACATGCATTCTACGATATTTTGCAGATCGTATTCCCTAGTACGCGTCGTTCCACGCTGTCTTTTTTCAGACGATCCCAAACGCCTACATGCATGGGATGTCAGCATCCGCACGCGGGTCTTCCCTGACGCTCAACGTATTGTGTTATAACTTCGGCGCAGTTTGTCACTTCGAATCAAGGGGAGCGTTTCACGTTTGCATGGGGTTCTAAACTGAAATGGCCATCCTGAAGATCTGTTGGTGCTGTTCACAATCATGCCCTTCTTAAGATCTAAGCCGCTCTAGTTTCTGAACTTCACACCCAGGAAAATGGGGGCAGGTACAGCGGGGAGAGTGTTTCAAAGCCACCTTGACATTCATGACGTCATAATAACGTCATTCAAATCCTGCCATTCCATATGTCATGCGGCGACCATGGCCGAGACAAATATAATTGTCGAAGCGTTCATATCTGGTCGGCTGGTGGCGGGGGCCGCTTAAAGGTCAGCTGATGTCAAAGGGCGGGACGGACGGTCCCGAGCATGGCGGCACGTTCAACCTTCGCCGCAAAATTCTGCGGTTGACCCTGAACTTCGCGACTGGATGGTGTGGTCAGCGCTCACGAACAAGACACTGGTTACGCTGGCACTGATCCAAGAACATATCCAATCCAAAGATTGAACTAATTCTTTAAAAAACGCCAATGGGTGGCAATATGCAAATACAGCGCATTCAAAAGCGGCAAATGCCAACGCAACCTGCATCACACAGTGTGCAGTCAGCACTCCGATGTCCGTCCCAAGCCCACCATCCACCGAACGACAAATCAACAGCATACACGCCGGAGCGGCATCTTGTACCACCAGCTCCGCAATGCGCGTGGTGGCCGACGGATTCAGGACCTGCCCTGCACGCCCAGCGCCGCTGACGCCGAGCCGCAGCTCTCACCATGGCAAGGAACATGGCGGCGCGGCGCGCGCGCACGCCAGCCGGCTGGTTTTCCGGCACGCGGACACCTGACGGCGGACTGAAGCAGCCCGCCGGCGGACCGGCCCGCGCGCGACTGAGGGCCCTGGCGGCCGGCGCTACAACGGCCCGCACGGCGGCCGAGCCACGATCCCGGCCCGCGCGGACTGCAGCGCAGCGAGGTCAGAGTCACGGGCAGCGGCCGCCTGCCGGGCGCGAACGGGAGCCGCTCCCGTCTTAGAGGGGTTCTGAGTGCGGGCTGAGGAGCGTTGGAATCCTGGGGGGGGGGGGGGGGAAGGAGGAGGAGGAACCAGAATACTTCTAGGTGGTGCGAACGTTTTGTGGCGAGGATGACATAGGGATTTTGTCTTGCGTTGGCACAAACGGCAGGCGTTTCTGGACCCTGATGGCATGCCAGTGCAAAGGCCGTGTTGCGAAGTTTATTCCGATAAACCGCCGCTTTGACAACACAATGAGTGCGCCAGCCGAGCGTCGCCAGAGACACTCCTGATTTCCCTCAGCTGTCGGCTGTCCACCACACTTGCGAAGCTGCGGTCAGTCCAGCGCAGGTGCGCCGACATGTGGTCACGCCTTCGGCGGCTCCCACCTGACCTAGATGCCCTAGTGGATGCGTTGTGTACACAACCTTTTGCTGGTCGTGGGCTAGGTGTGGGGACTAATCGGATAGGCTAAAACTAAAACTGGCGTCTCGGGTGCCTGCGGACTCAAACTCCTGCAATGCCCCACGCTGTCCCTGACGCAGATTGACGATGGCTATTGCATCCGTCCATTTATAAAACTCGTGTTTTGCCGTCTTCTAAACAAATTGTGAAACGCATTGTATTTCGCACTTTTTAGGTTTCATTATCCGTAAGCATGGTATTCCACAGAGACCTTAATGGTGGCCAGCGCTTTGCTGCTGTCCCCTTTCCGGCCGTCCATGTCGCGTAGGGTGTTTTCATATTACGTGGTCTCGCCCTGGAACCACCCACCGCCGGTTGCTATGACCTCCCGGAGCCGTACTGCGCTCATATCTCGACTTGGCCAATGTGAAAAAGAGGGTTTTGTTTGACTTTGAATGCCTTTCAAGCTCTTGGCGTGTTCTCATCATCACCGCATCTTCGTTTTTATCGTGTACCATGTAATCCATTGACTAGAATCAAACATTAAGCCATACTATGGAACGATCCGTAGTAAATACGTGACATGACAAAGCCTCAAGGAGATAAAAAGGCCCAAAAGAGTCTGCGCGTTCCGTAAAGACAATACGTGACGTCACGCATAAGCTGTCGTCCGGCTTTCAGTAAACAGCTGAGACGAGCCGGACGGTAAAGAACCTTCGTGAGCTCACGTAAATTTTACGCAGTTTCGACTAATCCATGCGCCTCGCAATCCTTGACATGATGGTCATACAACGCTCATAATTACGATGGATATTCACGAGTAATAGGCAAATTAACCAGAGCCATATTATCATGCCATTTATAGGCTAAAATAAAACGTTGACATTTCCTTGCCGCAAAAAAAGAGATTTTTTTGGCATCCCTGTCGACTGCTGGGAAAATTGTAAGCCGGGCAACTATTGCAGCCCATACGTTTTGGAAAGCACGCTTTCAAATGCCTTACATATTAGTTGCATCTTAAGCTGATCTGGTTTCCGTGGTATGACAAAAAAAAACAAAGAAAACGCTCGAAGGCCGCCTGATCTGTGGTGCTCACTCCCGACTGCGTGATGCGAGCCGTACGCAGGCGTCCGATTAGCATCATACGCTAGCCCCATCTTTACTGTACAAACATGTACTGGCTTCATGTCGCTGCTACCCTTGGCTGCTGAGATATCTGTCCTATATTGCAACCAATTTGCCGTGCTGTTACCCTTCGTGGGTTCCTGTTACCATGTTAAGCCGACCTTGATGAAATACGTGGGTTTAAAAACGGCCTCGAGCGCGCGCCATGCACCAGCCGCGGGCGGCATCTCAACAGAAATCGGTACTGCACTGGTTACGCGAGAAACCAGATGCAGTCATGAAGCCAACTAATGTGATGCAAGCACGGCTTGGAGACAGCAGAGACTCATGAAACAACATTCCTCAGCAGGGCGGTGTTGGTAGCGGAACATGGCGAGCCGGCGATAATGTGGTGCCGAATAGCATGCTATTAAACTTCTCAAAGTAGATCTTCGAAACATTGACAACGCAGCCTGCGTCAGTCGATAGCCTATACCATACTTTGCCCAGTTCGCCTATTCTTCTCCGAAATAAGGCTTA